TTTGCCTACCATGCAGTCAGAACATGTAAAGCTTTGTGCATCAAATGTAGGAAGTCCCCTTACCATGCTCCTGCTCATCAGTGTTTTCAGACCACGATGGCTAAGGTGACCATACCTTTCATGCCACAGCTTGGAAATGTCTTCACTTGTCATCTGGAAACACTGTTGTTGTCTTGCTTCAGTGCTTGTCTGATCCATCAGTGTAAACATACGGTTTGAGCTCATCTTGCTTTCTGCTATTAGTCCCTTCTCATCATGGTAGATTTTGCAGCTTCCTTCTCTTATGATGATGACAAGCTTCCTCTCTTGAAGTTGACCAAGACTTAGAAGGTTATTTCTTAACTCTGGAACATAGTACACATCACTTATTGTGTACGATGTATCACTCAACTTCAGCTTCACATTTCCCTTTCCAGTCACTTCCATTTTCTTGTTGTTTCCAAGCTTCACTGAATGTTTGAAAGCGTGATCCAGTGATGTGAACAAGGTCTTGTTTCCTGTCATGTGGTTTGAGCAACCAGAGTCTAAGTACCATGCTTTCTTCCTCAGACCTTCTCCACTTCCAGAGTTGGTCATTAAGACCATTCATGTTTCCTTCACCCCATCTGTTGCTTCTTCTTCAACAAAAGCCATCAGAAGCATGTCTTCTTGCTCATCAAGCGTCGCATAGTTTGCTTCTTCATTCTACTTAGGACATTCACTTTGATAGTGTCCCAAGTGATGACATTTGAAGCACTCTACGTTCCTTTTATCAAAGGAACTCCTCCCACGGCCTCTGCCTCTTCCTCTCCATGCTGAGCACCTTCCTCTGGTTCCCATTTCTTCACCATGAGTCACTTTTAGCACTTGTTCTTCTCCTTTGCCCACTTTCTTGAACTTCTGTTCATGGACAGCCAATGTACTCTGCAGCTCATCTATGGAGATCGTCTCTACATCCTTTGACTCTTCAATTGAAACCACCACATACATGAATCTTTCAGTGAGAGTCCACAGGATTTTCTCCACCACCTTCGTATCAGCCATCACTTCCCCATTGCTTCTCATCTGATTTGAGATGCACATGACTCGAGCAAAGTACTCATCTATGCTCTCCGGTTCCTTCATCTCCAATACCTCAAACTCCCTTCTCAGCTTCTGTAGGAGAGACTTCTTCACACGAGCATTTCCTCCAAACTTCATCTTCATTGAGTCCCAAATAACTTTGGAGTTTTTCCTGTCCATGATCTGCTCAAAAGTTGTTCTGTCAATGGCTTGGTAGAGATAGTGCTTGACTTTGTGATCGTTGGTTCTAGCGTTGTCAAGATGTCTCCTTTGCTCCTCCGTCAACACCGTGGTGATTGATGGTTCATCTTATCCATTCTCAATCAGACTCCAAAGTCCCTTTGCTCTGAAAAAGTTCTCCATGATTTCACTCCAATGATCCCAATGTCCGTCAAAATGAGGTAACTTGATCTTCTCGTCTTCCATTCTTTCTTTCTTGCGTGAAGCTGCGGCTTCTTGTTTTCAGTTTCAGATAACCTTGCTCTGATACCAATTTGTTATGTTTACTTCGTAAATCTGAGACTGAAAAATTGTTCTATTGAATTAAAGAAGTACAAGATATAAAGACCTAAACAACTTGAGAAACAAACGTGAAACAAACGTGAAAGCTAAAAACTCGGAAACTAACTCCACTACTCTAGGACATGTCATAGTGACTTCTTGATGTAACAAAGAAGCCGAAGTAACTTCTCCTTCACTCTCGGACCAACTTTGCTCTAACAGTTGGCTCATCCGGCATCTAATTCCCCAGATTATACTAACAACAGATTGAAATGGACGGTTCTATGCTTTTAGATAAGTCAACGAAAATTCGTGGTGCAGGCCAATGAAAATTCGTGGTGCAGCTCATAGCAGTATCTAGCCTCGCATTCCTTCTTATATACTTGGGATTGATACTAAAGCAGTTTCTAGAGTCTCTTTGTTTTTGTAAAAGATTTACTTCTCTTTAGCTTTAGTTTTCGTGTATGCCTTAATCTGTAAACTGAACCAGAGATTCTATGAAGTGAGGATTTGTTTCAGTAACCATTTTAGACAGAATCTCCTTCATATGTGTTCAGGGTAAATTTGTAAAATAAATTATGATAGAGAGTAATATTAGTACAGCATAATAATATGGAAAAATAATAAATCCTACTATATATTAATTGAGAATCCTTTTATTGATTTTTATGTCACTCATAGATATAGTTTAGAATTAATTATCTTAATTTTATCGGTTGTTAGTATTTGAATTTGTATTGATTTAATTCAAGATTTTAAAAGGAAACTAATCATAGAATTATCTAATCTAATCTATGTTACCGAATAAACAATCAAACATCTTAAATTTAAAAGAATTAACTTAATTTATTTATTTAAATAGTTAATAATCATAAGATATCTCTTCAATTAATTATTTTAATTTGATTGGTTGATGTTTTTTATTTTTAATTTATTTTCATAGGTGAAGTTTAGAATTAATTCTCTTATCATTTGATTGATTGTTGGTATTTGAATTTTCATTTATTTAATTCAAGTTTTTAAAAGAAAACTAATCATAAAATTATCTAATCTAATCTATGTTACCAAATAAACAATCAAACATCTTAAATTTAAATGAATTAACATAATTTATTTATATAAACAACTAATTATCATAAGATATCTCTTCAATTAGTTATTTTAATTTGATTGGTTGATATTTTTTATTTTTTATTTTTTATTTTATTTTAAAAATAATAAATCAAAATTTATTAATTAATAATTTTCATTAGTTGTGTATTGCATAGATGATATGTATATTTAATTTAGTTTTAGAGTAAGTTTTAAAATAGATATCTAAAATAAATTGAAGTTACTTTTTAATCAACAAACCTGTAGCAAACTATATTGATTGTAAAAACGGATAAAGAATTTTATATATATTTAAAACATATGTTTAAGAAACTTTGTAAAACAATTTATTTTGCATGTTATAGAGATAAATAAAAATAAAATTAGTAGCTAACAAAATAATTTTTTTTTACTTACAAACCATACCAATAAAAACTGTGTGTCTAACTGTTTTCGTTTATCATAATCATTTAATTGAAAATTGTTCATAAGATTTTTAAACTCTGTACGAGCTGGAATTTATATATATCATAATATGAAATTCTTATTATCTATAATACAAACACTATTACTATGAATGTATATTAATGTATAAATTAATAGAAACTAAATCTTACAAGGAAATATTATTAGAAATTTTATTAAACTAATGGGAATCCACATATATATAGTTTAGTTACGTTTCGATAATCTTTATATATACATTAGTTACAAGTATGGATTTATTTGTCACATAATTCATATTTTTCGATTTTAATAAACTGTAGATGTACATGTATACGGTATGGATATAAATGTTAAAAATGAAATTAAATTATTAATGGATTAAAATCCTAATAAGTTAGATATATTTATTGATAAAAATAATGAAATATTAAAATACCATTTATACTTTAAAATTTTAATAAAATAACCAAAATAAGTAAAATATCTAAAATATGTTTATTTTAAAAATATCTATCAAAAATTCACATTCAATTTGAAAAACTAAAAATATACTATAGCATGTCAAAAATATAACAGTATTACATTATATTTTCAAATTATTTGTATCTGAGAATTTGCGAGCAACCATCTAGTTAAAATATATAAAAGCAGAAGCTGCTAATTATAGAGAAAACTAAAAGATGATTAACAGGTTATATGATTGGTAAAATAAATGAGAAACAAGATTGCAAGCATAGAATGTATTTGGACCTTTAATTTTATGTGTTTATGGTGTGTTCTTCTAAAAACAAAAGATGTTTGTAATTTGTAAATGTTGCATGGTCTAGTGTCTTTAGTTCTCTTAATTTCCAACGCTGATTGGGTTTGAAAACATGTAAAGTTTTTGATTATGTTGCATGGAAACTTGGTTGAAGGTCCGTTTCACGTTTCGAAAATGTTTTGTAATTGGAATTTTTTAGAAACTTATTCAAAACTCGTTTCTTAAAAATTTCACTTTGGAAACTTGATGGAAACTTACATTTCTATTTGAAAACTCGCAATTATATTTTGCATACACGTAAGAAACTCTTTTTATTTTAGAACAAATTTTATAAATAATTAATAAATATAAAGATTAATTTAATGTTTTAATAATTTAAAAAACAAACTAATTAGAAGAGCATAAGCAGAAGATTTGATATTTATAATCTTCTTCTTCTATCTAGTCGAAGTCTTGTATACAAATATGGTCCCACTCATATGTGAGACAGTGAGATGTTGGAGGTGATCAATTTGTTTTGTAGTTATAGTTTTTATCTTTCGTTAACCTATTTAAGATTTAAACATTGATTTTTTGTTATTTAGAATGTTTATATGATTTTGATGCTTAATGATGACTATTTTAATTTTTCGTATGCTATATATAGAACGTCTATTTATTTATTTGTATTCTTAGATATACTAAACATAATCAAATTTAATTCACATATTGATAAATTGTATATATATATATATATATGTAATAACTGATTTTTTTTTCTTTTTTTGTCACAGTTGACTTATGTTTTTTTAAATAAGAAAACAAATAAAAAAGCAAAATTGGGTTTAAATTTGCATGGTTCTAGTGATTTAATTCAACTGAACCAGATGGAATATTATGAGATTTGAATTGATATTCAAACCAATCCGGTTTTATTGCCGTATAAGGTTGGTTCATGTAATTTAACCGAAGCGAATCTTTGAACTTTTGTTGAGATTCGAGTTACCGTAGTAGTTTTTTTTTGAACTTGGAGTTACCGTAGTAGTTAGTTATACAGTTAAAACGAGTCCGTTATATATGCCTTCCCTTCCCTCCAAACAAAAAAAACAGAGCAAAATTAAAGAAAAACCTTTCAAGAAACCCTCTCATCTCATCGTCTTTCTTCTTCTTCTCCCAGAAAATGTCTGACGATCTCTTCCAACTTAACAGACCTTTCAATCAACTCGATGGCTTCTACACCGAATGGTCCGAACACCTAACCAAAAACTGCATCCGTACCTTGCGGCATTTTCCAACCAACGACACTAACGACACCGTCCTCGGCGACATACGCTCATACTACGACACTCTAAACCATTACGCCACTAAAGACACCATCCTCTACTTCCTCTTCCCCTCGTGGCGCAGCAACTCCCTCGAGACCCCGATCCTCTTCCTCGGCGACATCCACCCTCGTCTTTTCACCAACCTCATACAGTCTTTCATGGACGACGACGGACTCAATCAAGATCCGATCCTCACTTTCAGTAATCTTGCTGCGTGGGAAGAACTATCTTCCGAGCTTGAGAACACGATTAACGAAACAGTCTCGCGTCTACTAGGTGAGATGAAGGAAGCACAGGACGGTTTTATAAGACGTTTCTCGAGTAAGTTTGTATCGTCGTTTCTTGGTTCTTGGAGTGGAACGGTTGTAATGGATACGGCGACTTTAGTGACGACGACGGATCAGGATGATGGTGCGATGATCATGGAGGAGCTTGTGAGAATCTTCCGTGAAGCGAATAAACTGAGGAAGGATACGATCACCAGCATTGTTGGAGTGTTGAACATGAATCAAATCGCTCTCTTTCTTGAAAGCGTTTGCAAGTTTCTTGCTGGGTTTAAACATCAGGTTTCTTCCCTTCCCCATGGCTTATTTGAATTTTTAATGATGGTTAGTGAATGATTTTGACATGAATAGTAAGTAGTAGCTTATATTTTGAGATTTTTTTTTTTTTTTCATGCAGGATCATGCTTTTCAGAATTCTCTGATTGATTATCATCTCATTAACCAGCAGCTTCCAAAACATGAACACCTCGTCAATATTCTTGATCCATCCGGAGTAATTAATGCACAAGCACACCACAATTATCCTCCGCCCATGATGCAGCAGCGTCCACCTTCGTGTCCACCACATATTGACCAGCTCTTCCAGCCTTTTGCTCCATCCAGATTGGTCCCGAATTATCCTCCTCCCCGCATGATGCCGCCTTATGCACCTCTGCTTCTACCAGTTGGCCACCAGCGCTTCCCTCCTTTTGCTCCATCCGGATTGGTTATTGCTCACCAGACTTATCATCCCCCCATGATGCACCAGTATCCACCTCAGCAACAAAAACCTGAACAGGGTCACGTTATATATGTTGGGAACTTGGCCCCAGCGGCCACGCAGGAGTTGCTAAGCGAGCGGTTTAGTTGTTATCATTCGGCTAGGGTAACAAAGATTTGCGTTGGCAAAGGAGGTGGACACAAATATGGTTTTGTTAGCTTTGCAGATGAAAGGGAGAAATGTGATGCTATGGAGGCAATGAACGGTCAAATGTTTTTAGGTTGGGAAATGCATATTGGTCCTGCAGCTAAGAACTCTATCTAGTCTCACTTTCCTTCACTATATACTTAGGATTGATAGTAAAACTAGTTTCTTTCTAGAGTCTCTTTGTTTTTGTACTTCTCTTTAGCTTTGGTTCTCTTTATGTCTTCGTCTGTATACTGAACCAGAATATTCTATGAGCTGACGATTTGTTTCATTTGCCATTTTAGACACATTCCTCTACTTCATGTGTGCTCAGGGTTTAAATAAATTATGAAAAGAGAGTGATTAATACAGCTTAATCCATGGATATTATGGAAAAATGATCACTTAAAAGATGTAATAGCAGAGACAGTTAAAGATATAGAAACTAAAATGTGAAAAAAAAAAATAGAAAGCAGAGTTGAATGAAGCTCTTCTGATACTCCTACACAATCATCAATGACTTGTGGAGTCTTCCATCTTTCTCCATTTCACCAAAGTCTTTAGAAACCTCTTCACTTGCACCACCATTTTTACCAATTAGTATATTGCATATTTAACATACAAGAGATGTTCCGCCGTTATCCAACTTATCCTTCGGTTAGGGAGGTAAAGACCCAGAATGTTACCGGACGTGGCCTAAAACGTGGTTTGGTTAGCTTTGCAGATGAAAGTGAGAAAAGGCGTGCTATGCAGGAAATGAATGGTGTTAAACTTTTAAATAGACCAATGCAAATTCGTGGTGCAGCTCACAGCAATATATAGCCTCACTTTCCTTCGCAGCTCAAAGCAATTTCTAGAGTCTCTTTGTTGTTGTAAATGATTTACTTCTCTTTAGCTATGCCTTAATCTGTAAACTGAACCAGAAGATTCTATGATCTGATTACTTTTTTCAGTTACCATTTTAGACATAATTTCCCTCATACGGATTCAGAGTACAGCTTAATTCATGAATAATATGAAAAAAATGATCAATGAAAGATATAAACTTAGAAACTGTTAATGATATAGAAACTAAAAAATGCTCAACAAAGATTATTATATGATCGGAAAAGGAAAAGAGAAACAAGATTGCAACTTGCAAGCATAGAATCGATATTTGCGCTTTAATTATATCTGTATTTATTGTGTATTCTTCTAAAACAAATGATATCTGTAATTTGTAAATATCGCATGGTAATGTACAATTACAAACGTATTTAGTTCCTCATCATTCCCAACTGTGATTGGGTTCGAAAACATGTAGAGGTTCTCAAATGTTTTAGACGGCAAGTAAATGATCTGTTCAATAATTGGTTATTTTTAATTTCTTCAAAAAAATATAATAATTAATTTCTAAATTAAAAAAACAAACTAGATCATTATCCATGCAGATGCGCAAGATTTATTTTTTCGAATGTACTCTATATAATTTAGTTTTATATAGTTTCGAGTTTGTCACATTCGATTTTATATTTAAAGAAAAATATCAAAACTTTTTTGTATTAATAACGTTAAGCAGTGTATTATGTAGATGTAATTATGCAGTGAAAACACTAATTCAATGCATTTTGAAGTGCAAAATCAAATTCAAAGTTAACTGTTTGCATTAAAAAAATAAGTTGAGAGTTTAACTACTTTTGATGTTAATAATTATCCAAAGGTTTTAAAATAATATATAAATTTCTAGAGTTTTTGGCTTTAACTTTTATATTGTAGATTAAATCAAATTCAAACTTAATTTTAGTCTTAACTTTGCAAGCACGTATATTTTATGATGAAAATTTCATAAGTAACTTAACAAATATTTTGGTAATTTGAAAGAATTTATGTATTTAAAATATTTTTGCATTTAAATCAAAATCTTAAACCGGTTAAATCGGTGATCAGATAATTCAATTTTGATTTTAAAAAATATCCATATATTAAAAATCACTAAAACCACCCGAGAATAACATATTAAACTGATGGATAACTGATATATAATATTTAAACCTGTAAAAATAAGTTAATTTTCATTGTTTTGTATATTATTTGAATTTCTTTAATTTATCTAAATAATTTGAAAGAAAATTGTGAAAAAATATTAAAAAGGGTGAGATCTAATATTTTGTATTACTAGATGCATAGTCTCCGCGCAAGCGCGGGGGTTGGATACATTGTTAATGTGTTGTGTAGTTTTGTGTATGAGACTTTGCTGTTTTTTTTAAAATATTTGTTTATCTGGTTTATCTATAATGATGATGAATGAAACATTAGAAATCACACAACTTGATTAGTCTGATAAAAGAATAAACATCAAATTCATATGGGTTGATATTTGCATATTTTCTCTTTGTAGTGATTTTATCGAGCATTCCCTTTATTAGTGATTTTATCGAGCATAACTGTTATTAGTGCTTTCATGTAAAAAAATAATTTAATGGAGACAAGACAAAAAAGGACATGTGTTTATTAGTGTAATTTTCTTTCTGGAATTATGTTGTATATATATATATATTTTTTTTTTTTAATTGTGATGTATATGAGATTTATGGCCGATCTGAATGGTTCGGGGTAAATATTTATTATTGAAAAATATGTTTTTATTTTATTTGATTATTATAACTGAATTGAAATGATATTGGAGGTTAGAACATGATAACATTTCTTATAAAAGTATCTAAGATGGTCTCTTAAAGTTTCAAATCCTTAAGCCATTTTGTATCCCAACAACCAGCATAAAAAATCATTCTGAATCTCCCTAAGCTTTTAGGTATCCCGAAAAACCCAAATTAAAAAAAAAATTACATGCAAACACTGCGTTTCGAACCTGCGCACTCGCGGTACCAACTTCTAGTCACCAACTTACACCACTGGGTCATTTCATCACTCATCGATAACATTTAATCTTACAAAATGTTATACGTTTTTGTTTTCCCTAATAACACATGTGGGGCCCGTAAACTTGCTGAGGTGGATAGCCTTAGGAGCTTCAAAAGTGAATCATTATAATATAGATTTGGACATAAGATCAGTGATAGTGTTGTTTGGAAACATGTATAGTAGTATAAGGAAATGAGTATATTGTTTGTAAACATATATAATAGTATAAATAAATAAATATATTGTTTGGAAACATAGATAGTAGTTTCTAGAAAACAATATTAATTATTTAATGTATATTTAACTATAAAGTAAAAAGATGTATTTTGATTTAAAAACTTACAAAATAAATGTTAGGTCCATCCTAATGTTTCTGTTTTAATAAGATAGATGGAAATCAAATTTAGGTTCAAATTTGCATGGCTCTCAAGGTTTGACAAACAAAAAACAATTGCATGGTTCTAGTGATTTAACTGAAGCAAATGGAATATTATGAGAATCGAATTAATTAGATTCAAACCTATCCAATTTTATTACCATATAAATCGGCATGGTTCATGTGGTTTAACTGAACCGAATCTTGAATATTAATGAGATTAGAGTTTTTTTTTAAGAACGGTCGTTCTATTACTCAAACGTGAGAGGTTTGGGTAATTAAATCGGAATAAAATAACCAACAAAAAATAATTCCCTATGAAAGGATTTAGCAGTCTTAGCTAAGAAGTCAGAAATCTGATTTTGCGCGTGTGGACGATCTTGAAGTCAGGGAAATATATATGCAGGGTCTCTATCCTCTCTAGTTCTGTTGCAAAGCTTGGCCAAACTCGAGGTTCCTTGATCATGGTGGTCAGCTCCTTGCAATCTATTCCAAAACATTGGCATGTCGAGTGTTGAAGCATATTCTCCATCGCCCACCGCAATGCTTGTACTTCTGAATGCAAAGCTGATATGCATCTAATGTAGTTTCTCGTACCCGTAAGTTGAACCTTCCCAAAGCTATCTATCCAGACCCATCTATTTCCACTGAAATGTGATGTAGATGTCCATGACCCATCTATCTGGCAGATGTTATCCAAGCTTATGACATGGGGTTCCTCATCGATATTGTTCTGTAGCAATAGTGTCACCGACTCATTTGCATTAAACCAGGCTTGACATTCGCTCTCAGCATAACGAACTAACTCTAATGGATCTTTGTCTATTCCCCTGAAGAGTTTGTCATTTCGGGTTTTCCAAATATACCAAATTATCCATAGATAAGGGTCTCTGTCGAGATCTGGTGCAACAATGTTATTTTTCCTCCAGAATAGATAATCCATATCAGCATAAATACTAGGTGTCGGAAAGATATCTTGACCTGTCGGGGTCAATGAAAGGGACCAGACTTGAAGAGCTGGCGGACACTCAAAAATAGCATGAATTACGGTCTCTTCTGGTTGTCCACATCTTGGACAATAGTTGTCACACCTCATTCTACGGCGTACTAAATTCCTCGTGACAGCCACATGGCCTGATATCAATTGCCATATAAGATGGCATATCTTTTTAGGCGCTTTTATCTTCCAAGCAAAGGCTTGGAGCTTGCTGATACTTGGCTCAAGCACTTCTTTTTCTTCCTCTTTCTTTAATAAGTTCTGAGCTATCCAATATCCAGATTTAACCGTGTATTGTTCATTCCTAGTATAATTACATCAAAATGTATCTTGCCGATGAATTGAACTTATGGCCAAACTCCGTATAAGAGGTATATCCCCCAGCCTGGCATAATTTCCCAATAGACCAACATCTCACTCCTTAGATACCTAATTAATAAAGTCACTGACTCTCATGTTCGGATTCAAAGCTGAGGCTAAAGGGATAGCCGGCCTTGCAGGTGTTGTAGGGATCCACAGATCTTTCCATACTTTAACTAAATATCTAGAGTGTATCTCTGTCTGATTGCCAAAAGCAGTAGCTCTCGCTCGGTAGAAAGGCTGGTCAGCACATAAGATGGACTACTTGTAGAAATTACCCTTAAAGACGAGCTTAGTCTATAGTATCTTCCATTCAAAACATGGGCCATGAGAGAGTCTGGGTATTGAACCAGTCTCTATAATTGTTTTGCTAATAGTGTCAGATTAAAATCATGTATCATACGGAGCCAATCCCACCCTCTTCTCTTGGTAAACAAACCTTTTCCCATTTCGCCCAGTGAATTCTTTTTTGGGGGGATTTGAACTCCATCAGAATTGTGCTATGGCACTCGCAAGATTCTCACATAAATCCAGTGGCAATAGAAAAATTGACATAACATATGTTGGAAGCGCTAGCAGGATGGACTTAATCAACTCTTCCTTCTCCTTTTTTTGAAAGCCATTTACCTGTCCATCCATTTACTCTATGCATTAACTTATCTTTGAGGAAAGCAAAAGGTTTGCATTTTGATCCACTAATATCCTATGGAATTCTTAAGTATGTTTCCATTCCTCCTTCATTATGGGTTCCAAGTGTATCTTTAATCTCTTGTCTGATAGTTCTTGTCTAATAGTTTCGTTAGTTCTTTTACCGAATAGTAAAGATGATTTTTCAAAATTAATACACTGGCCTGATGTTTGTCCATATTTCCTCATTACTTTCATCATTTCTTCACATTCACAGGGCTCCATCTTACAGAAGAAAAAGCTATCATCAGCAAAGAGAAGGTGGAATACCAAAGTATGTTCTCATTTCTCCTTCATTCTGGATTCCAAGTGTATCTTTAATCTCTTGTCTGATAGTTGCGTTAATTCTCTTACCAAAGAGTAAAGAGGATTTTTCAAAATTAATACACTGGCCTAATGCTTGTCCATATTTCTTCACTACTTTCATCACTTCTTCATATTCACGAGGCTCCGTCTTACATAAGAAAAGGCTATCATCAGCAAAGAAAAGGTGGGATACCGAAGGACACTCTCATGTAATATGCATCCCCGTTATCTTCCCTTGATTCTCCGCTTGATTGAGAAGACTAACAAACGCTTCCATGCATAGAATAAAGATAAAAGGAGACAAATGATCTCCTTGACGTAGACCTCTTTCTGGAACAATATTTCCTCTTGGTTGGCCATTTATTAGCACTTTATATTTCACTGATGTAATACATCGCATTATCCAGGAAATCCAGACCTAAAAAAAGCTCATCTTTCACATGACAACTTCAATAAACAAGCACTCCATCCTATCATACGTTTTGCTCATGTCCGTCTTAATGGCCATCATTTTATTTCGTCTGCTTAGTTTGGTTCTCAGAGCGTGGAATATTTCTTAGCCTATCATGATATTATCTGAAATCTGTCTTTCAGCTAGAAAGGTTGATTGGGTTTCTGAAATTAGATCTGGTAGAATTTTATTTAACCTCTGGCATAAGACTTTAGAGATTATTTTGTAACTAACATTATATAGACTCATGGGCCTGAATTGAGACATCTCATTAGGCTTTGTTGTCTTCGAGATGATACATATATTTGTATCGTTTAACCCATTGGCCATCTCTCCGTCAAACAAGTTTTATTAACCATAAGAGTTAAATCTTAACCCATTGGCCATCTTCGCTTCAAACAATAATTTATTAACCATAAGAATTACAATTCCTTTACAATATCCCAAAACTTCTGGTAGAAAAAAACTATCATTCCATCGAATCCTGGAGCCTTTTCTGGATACATAGTAAATAGTGCTAGTTTAACCTTTTATTCAGTAACCGAAGCTGTAAGATTAGCATTTATTACCCCAATAATCGTCGTGGATACTTCAGAAAGAAATAATTTCTTCTATATATTCTTCTAAAAAGTAAATGATCTCTGTAATTTTTAAATATTGCATGGTAAATGCAGAATGTCTTTACCTCCTCATCATTCCCAAGTGTGATTGGGTTCGAAAACATGTAAAGGTTTTCAAATGTTTAGGCGGCAAGTAGATTATCTGTTCAATATTCCCTCCGTTTCATATTAAGTGTCATTGTAGAGATTTTTTTGCGTTACAAAATAAGTGTCGTTTTCGGTTTTCAATGCAAAAATTATTAATTTTATTATGTAATTAGTTTTTCTATTGGTTAAAATAGGGTTAGCTCTATAGGTAACTGTGTTTTTATATAGGAAATATGTAAAATTAATTGTTTCATAAATCTGTGTGCACAGCTGTAGAGAGACACTTATAATGTAACAGAATGAGTAATTGATTATTGTAATTATTATTTTTTGGTTACAATTGACTTTTGATTCCTAAAATAAGAAAAGAACACTAAAATGCAAAACTGGGTTTAAATTTGCTGGGTTCTAGTGATTTAACCGAACCAAATGGAATTTTCTGAGATTCTAATTGATTAGAGTCAAACCAATCCGGTTTAATTGCCTTGTAAATTGGCGTGCTTCGTGACTTAAACCGAACCGCATCTTGGATTTTGATGAGATTAGGTTTGGATTAATAAAAATTCTAAAATAAGAATCTTGAACTTTAATGAGATTGGAGTTGGTTATACAGTTAAACCGAGTCCGTTATATATACGCCTTCCCTCCAAAAAAAACACAGAGCAAACCTAACGATAAAAGAAAAAAAAACTTTCAAGAAAATCTCAGAAACCCCTCTCCATCGTCGTCTTCTTCTTCCTCTCCCAAAAATGGCCGGCGATCTCTTCCGCCGTGATAGACCTTTCCACCAACTCGATGGCTTATACACCGAATGGTCCGAACACCTAACCAAAAACTGCATCCCTCTCTTCCGCCAATCTCAACGTTCCGACGTCAATAACGCCACCGTTCTCCGCGACATACACTCATACTACGACACTCTAGACCATTACGCGAACAAAGACACCATCCTCTACTTCCTCTTCCCCTCATGGCGCAGCAACTCCCTCGAGACGCCGATCCTCTTCCTCGGCGACATCCATCCTCGTCTTTTCACCGATCTTATCCATTCTTTCATCGATCAAGATCCAATGATCTGCAGCACTTACAGTGATCTTGCTGCGTGGGAAGACCTATCGCTGAAGCTCGGGGACGATATTAACGTAACAGTCTCGCGTCTACTAGGTGAGATGAAGGGAGCACAGGACGGTTTCGTAAAACGTTTCTCGGATAAGTGGGTATCTTCGTTTCTTGGCTCTCGGAGTGGGACGGTAGTAATGGAGACGGCGACTTCAGTGACGACGGATCAAGATGGTGGTGGTGAGATGATCATGGAGGAGTTTGTGAGAATCTTTCGTGAAGCGAATCAACTGAGGAAGAATACGATCAACAGCATTGTTGGAGTGTTAGACATGAATCAATTGGCTCTCTTTCTTGAAAGCGTTTGCAAGTTTCTTGCTGGGTTTAAACATCAGGTTCGTTATTCCCCATGGCTTTATTGTATTTTACAACTTTTTTAAAAAAAAAAGGATGATTAGTGAATGATTTTGACATGGGTAGTAGTAGACTACTAGTAGGTAGTACAAGATGTTTATATTTTTGAGATTATAATTTCTTACAACTTCGTTATTGGTTGATTCTTTAAGGATGATGTTTATATTTTTGAGATTATATATATGTTTTATCTAATGTTGGGATGTGCGCAAATGTATCAAAAATTTGCAGGATAAGGCTTTTCACAATTCTCTGTTTGGTAATCATCCCATGAACCAGCAGCTTGCATCCGGAGAGGTTATTGCATCACACAGTAATTATCCTCCGCACATGATGCAGCAGCAGTATGCAGCTCAGCTTCCACCACCTAACCATACTGTTCCGCCCATGAACCAGCAGCAACAGACACCTGAACAGGTTCACGTTATATATGTTGGGAACTTGGCCCCAGCGGCCACGCAGGAGTTGCTACGACAGATCTTCAGTCCTTATCGTTCGCTTAGGGAAACAAAGATTTGCATTGACAAAAGAGGTAACAAATATGGTTTTGTTAGCTTTGCCGATCTAAAGGAGCAAAGGCATGCTGCGCTGCATATGAACCGTAAATTCTTTTTAGGTAGGGAAATGTTTACTGGTCTTGCAACTAAGAACTCTATCTAGTCTCACTTTCCTTCACTATATACTTAGGATTGATACTAAAACTACTTTCTTTCTAGCTAGAGTCTCTTGAGTCTCTTTGTTTTCTGTAAAGGCTTCATTTCTCTTTAGCTTTGCTTCTCTTTTATGCCTTAAACTGAACCAGAATATTATATGATCGCTGACGATTTGTTTCCATTACAATTTTCTAGACACATTCTACTTCATTATGTGCTCAGGGTTGAAATAATAATGGAAAGAGTGTGATTTTTTTAATACAGCTTCATTCATGGAAAAATGCTATAGAAATTATAATGTGAAAAAAATAGAAAGCAGATTTGAATGAAAGCTCTTCTGATACTCCTACACAATCATCAATGACCTGTGGAGTCTTCTTCCATCTTTCTCCATTTCACCAAAGTCTTGAGAAACTTCTTCACCTGCAATCACCATTTTTACCAATTAGTATATCTGCTCATATGTAACATAACATATATGTGATGATATAGATTATATTATGTACCTCTGAGGGGTCTCTAAGAGAGTAGAACGCATTGCTTTCTTTTGGCACAGAAGATACCAAGATTCCAAATCCTTGCTTCTTCTCCCTTAGTACCTTGAATGCATCCTCATCAGTCTTGTCATCTCCTATGAAGATTGGTAGAAAATCATCGTTGTTGCTTAATCCTAAAGATTCCAACAGAAACTCAACTGCTTTTCCTTTGTTCCATTCGATCACGGGACGAACCTCTAAAACCTGAATGATATTATAACCAAAACAAGTCATGTTAACATAACATATGTGATGATCATATAGACTACATATATTCCACCAAGTAACAAGTACCTTTCTGCCGTGAGTTAGACGTAGACGAGGGTATTGTTTCAAGTGGTCATGAACACGTTGAGCAACGAGTGGCCAGTCTTTCTCATCAACGTTACGGTAATGCACAGAAGCGCAGAACTTGTGGTTCTCCACTTTTGCACCTTTGATGCCTTTAGTTAGCTCCACGAGGGATCTATAAACCTCTTCAATGACTGGTATGAACTCTTTAGCAGGCTGGAAGAGGTTTACCTCTTCGCCCTATTGACAAAATGAAATGATTAGAAGAGCTGATCATATATTATATATGGTAAAATTTTGAATGAGGTAACGATTTCACCTGTTGGTCGGAGTTAGTGTCTTCAGGGGAACCATTAACATTTGCAGGAGTCATTATGTCCATCCCATGACTACCCGCGTAATAGAGTTCGGTTAGTCCTACCAATTCGTAAACCTGACACAAAAATGTATTAAGAGTTTCAACTTTTGTTTGGATTGTGCTAATACAGATTAATGGATGGTTTAAGAATCTCACCTTGTCACGGCTTCTACCACTAATTATTGCTGTTGGGAAGTACTTGGCGACATCTTTTACAGCAGCACGCATCTGAGAGAGACATAGAGTGATAGAGAGCAAACACTTAGCATCATAGTTTAGCATATCAAAAATACAAAAGAGTTGTGATTCTTACCGCGTCAGACATGAGGGCACGGTCAGGGTCATCGACTATAGGGGAAAGAGTTCCATCGTAATCAAGAAACATAGCTATCTTCTTGTCCTTTGCTTGAGCTGCTATATGACTAAAGGAGGTAATGGCTGATGGATACTTGAGCTGTCATTATTAAAAAATAAGAATGTAAGTGGTGACAACAATAAAGAGACCAAAACATTAATTTATGAATGAAACAATGATATGTTGTACCATCCAAGCCCGTTGAGCAAAATCATCTTCAGGAGCAATCTCGACGTTGAAATCCTTTACTAGCCTTTTACGAGGTGGGGAAGAAGAAATCATTGCTTCCAACCAACCGTTGGATCTGACATCATCGAGCTTAGGGATCTTCTTCCTTGAGTTCATCATGAATCTTCCTGAAGGGAAAGATGATCCGAGTCTTGGCTTGTTGACTGGTGAATCAGGGTCAGTATCCATCCAACTCCAAAAACAAAAACAAAAAGTGCTTTCAAACAAGAAACTATGCAATGGGATCTTCTAAAACACTTGTTCTTGTGTGTTATCCAACTGTTTTGTCAATGAAAAACCACTTCTTCAATGTTTTCTTGTCAGTGCTTGTTGGTGAACGGTCCATTAAAAGTAAGCACTGAAGTTTGAATACACACAAACAAACAAAATATTCAGAACATTAACAATACGCAAAAGTATGTTTAGGTGCCACAACATCCACAGAGTCGAAAGCTTTTCTTTTCACATTACCTCATCATCTCTAAATCCTCAAAAGCACATCAATAAAGACGCTCTTAGGCTGATCTTTAGCTTCAACTACAAACCTGTATAACATGACCATAATAAAAACAAGTAAACCATACTGCAAAATCTCTGAATTTTTAAACAGGACAACGCAAACTCTTTAAGTTTCTTTCTCTTACAAATGGTTCAGTAAAAAGATTGAACCTTTTTCAAGTTCTTTTAAGACACAATAAAGCAGAACACACAACAAAGTCAACACGAGAGTTATGTTTTGTTGATATCTTCCTCTTGTTTTTTACCTAATCGTCTTAATGGTTGTTTAATGATATGAAGAGAAGAGGAGCCACTGATTTTGACAAGTACCGAAGTTTTCAACTGCCTTTCTGATAGTGACAACCACTCCTATTATTAATAACGCTACCGACAAAAAACTAACATACCAATGACCAAACTAGTCTTTAGTTTGGTTGTTCGTACCAGTCTAAAAGAGAACAAAGTTATCAGTCCCAGGAAAATGTTTTGCAATAAACCACATGCTGTAAGGTTACGAAAGAACATAATTTAATCACATCACATAGGAAACAATTTTAGATGAAGATGAATAAAAAATGTAACTGTCCATAGAAAATAAAATTGAAACGCAACAATGAAACTTAATCAGATCGAACGAACGGCTAAAAATTTAAGAATAAACAGGGTTTAGATTTAAAATACCTGATTGTAATGAGGTGGAAACAAGAACCCAGAAGAGAAACAAAATCTCTGAGGAAATGCAGATTAATTTTTCTCCTCAAAGAAACAGAATCTCTGGGATCGAAATCAGTGAAGAGGGAGATTTTGTTTTTTGGTTTTCTTTTTCCACGAAACCCTAAAAAATTGCTAGAGAATATACGAAAAATCAGAAAGAGATTGAAAGAGAGGAAGGGAGAAAAGGAAGGATGATAGGCTTTTGCTATTTATACACTCCGTTTCTCTATGGAAAAGAAAACATGTCCGTTTCTCAAAGAGACAGCGAGAGAGAGAGAGAGAGAGACGTGTTTAACAAGGTTACTAAGCTGTTGTGTTCAATACTAGTATCGATTACACCTCACATCTTTGACTTATATACCACTTTGCCATCGCATCCCCCTCTTAATTATTACTATTATTATTATTTCACGTAATTAGCTTCCCTAAATTAAATTAATACATTAGTTTATGACTAGTGAGTTTGTCATTTGTCATATTCTTTTGTTTTCTTAATTTCAACTTTCTACGGTGGAATCTTTGATTTATTCAAAATGCTCTAAATTTTTGTAATATTTTTGGCAATACATAATATTTCTATACTGGTGTTTTTCAAAATTTCCGTATAAAACTGTATTTTCTTTCCTTGACCAAAACGAATGGCGTGAAGCAGCCGTCTAATTACCATGTCTAACGGTTATAGATTTTTCCCAGATGACTATAAAGAAGTTCCACAAACACATTAAAAGTTATTAAACCGTGTTGACTAATAAAAATTACCACTATAAGAGAAGAAAAAATAACACAGCTAAAACTAGTGTATAAAACAACTGTAAGGCGGACGTTAGTTCGTTACCTAAAAAGGAGCTGGTTCGTGAAAGACACGTGGTTAAGAGTCAGGAGAGTTGAATTAAGCGTAGGCGCCACGTGTTACATTAAGATGGTCATAAACCACGTGTTAGTTGGGCCTTAGAAGGCCCCAATAAGTAAACTTGCTTTTTCTAGTTCCGATGTCTTTTTCCGGTATCTGATTTTGCCTTTTTGTATACAAGATTCAACCAATTTCAGATACTCACAACACATCTTATATTGACATATATATACTTGCCATAGTTTGATCAAAGTACTTTTGTGATGAAATGCGGAGTGATAAGGCCAAATGTGTAATTGTGTTGGGAATAAATTAGATTTTAACGATTATTTACGGTGTTAACTGATGAAGAGTTAAGATCACGGGACCCATCATAAAACTCATAAATAATTAAAATAAACGATCAAACGAAAATTTGAATTGTAAAGAGGGTCGCTGCACTGAATACACGGCTCAGATTTGCGCTCTGTGACAATATTTATTGGTGGTGGATAACCAACATTTCTATACTTATTTTAAACATATTTTCCTTTTTTGAAAGAGTTTTAACAATACATTGTGGTGGAGATGGGCGTAACTATATATAGATATAATTTCTTCATATATAAATATTAATTATAATTATTATAAAGAACAGTGAAGAAGTAATGGTCTTGCATCTATTTTTCTCTTACTATTAAATCAAATGAAAAATTGAAAGGTAACCAAATTGAAATATATAAACAGAAAAAGACAGCTACACTTTGTTTTTGTCTTACAAATATCTTAGGAAGGTTCTCCACGTGTATCCTACGCTGCACCTATGACGATTGACGAGTCACAATACATATGCTGACGCAATTATGACACAGCTAAAAATGACATGATTCATGAATTCGGATTTTATAAAGATATATGCAAATATGTTCTTTTTTTTTTCTCTTTGAAAAGAGACAAATATGTTTTCGTTGAAGAACATGAACATTTGAGTATTTGACAGATCGATACGTTTTTGAGTCACCATTTGTTTATTCTTTCTCTCCCCTTTTTCTGGTTAAATAATTACATGTTTTCAGATAATAAGAGAGTTAGTGCGAGTGCATAATTATTAATTAATACGTTCGATTATTGTCTTTGCGAAAAATTCAAGATTCAATGTATCTTGATGTAACACATTAAAACTAATCAGATTCTTCCATTCTAGTTTCTGGCATTGCAATGTAAACCGACGACAAACCAGTGTAAACATATATATAGTTGAAAAGACAAAAAAAACAGTCACTTTTCTTCTATCTTTAGTCTTTGCAATATATTTTTTTTGTGCAACAGAGGAAAACAGCCTGTAGTAACCTTTACTCTTTTGTTGGTATATAATATAATAATAACGCATAAATAAAATGTTGATTAAGAAATCATGCGTGCCGACCACTAAATATAAGCTCGTTTTGTCAAAGTCCAGATGTTAGCAGACGTTATGATAACATATAATTGTTAAAGTAAGATGATGTGAGCTTCATAAACTAGAACACACAATAACGTAGAGATATTTTTTTCTAAGAAATATGATTAGATTTTTCTATAAGTATAAACTCGTTTTTTCTAAAAATAATATTTCAATCAAATTTAAGACAACTCTTGATTTGTTGACTAGCCTTATTCGTTTACAGACTTATGACAGTTTCTGAATCACTTACGCTCCTAACTCTTAGATGCTTTATTTTTCCTTCTCCGGACTTATAAAATCCCTATTGCTAAAAGCTCTCTTTGTGTGTTAGTCGTAACACAAAACCTGTACCTTATTTTTATATTTCGGAGGAAGCCCTAGGCTTCACAATCTATTGAATGGAAACTTTCCATTCCTAGTTCTTCAGCGAGTAAGCCAGTTTTTCTATTCTCTTTGATATCGATTGTTTTTTCCTCAATTTTTTTCCTTTTATCAGCCTTTTCATTAAATCTTCCTTTTAATGACTTCATCTTGATACGTGCTTCTCACGACTTCATTGACCCATGTTGTAGTTCATGTCACACTTCATGAACTACTTTTGATCTGCTACACCATCGCCTTGACCATACATCTTCAACCTCCCCCTTTTTAATTTGTCATCTCACAAGTACCTGAGATGAGATAGAAAGACAAGAACACACAAACAAACAACCACATATGCTACACTAACTCTTATCATAATTAGACCAACCAAGAACCAAAAGCATACTTAGATTATCTTTAAAACACACGGGTTCAAGCATTAATACATCTTATCAAAGATAGTACACAAAAGCTCCCTCAGAAACCGACATTGTTTGAACACCAACAGAATTGCAACAAGTGGTACAATTTAAAACAACATGCTCAAAAAAAAAAGATTGCTCCCCTACAAACTTAGGTCCCTTTCACCTCAGTTCTCATCTTCTCCCCCTGCTTATGAGCACACGGATTAAAACACAAAGAAATGAAATACATATCGTAATTTTGAGAGAAGAAATCAAAGAACCAAACCTGTCACCAAGTTCTGAAACTCTTGAACTACCTCAGCCAATGCTTGAAGAGCCCGAGATGTGTCCTGAAGAGCTTCTTGCACATCTGCTATAGTGAGCTCACCCTGAGGAACAACTATTGAACCCAATTCGTAGACAGAAACTCTGCGAGGACCAGTCCGGGAACTTGTTGCATGAGTCACGGGGGCAGGAGATGGCTTACTAGGTGTACGAGCAGAATTTCTTCCCTTAATCTCATCCTTGGCTTTACCCTTACTCTTATGTTGCTCATAGATTTCTCCCACGCGCTTATCCTTCTTGTAGGCAATAACACGATCAAACTTGTCACCAGGATGGGTAGGAATCTGATGCTGCTCCTGAAGTATTCCCATTATTAGACGAGGAAAGATCAATCAGCGAGAGTCATTTCGCTGTACCACACAAAGATTTATGATTTGCTTGAAGACCAACTTTCCTATGTCTACACGAATCCCATGAGCCATTTTGTAGATCAAACTTGCTCTGTCAAGAGATACATGTGTCTTGTGCGTAGAGGGAATCCAATTGTAAGCAGCAATAATCACGAGAGCTTCATAACATGGTGTGAGATCAGCTGTAGTAAGATTATCCCACTCCTTCTGAGTCCTATTAGTAAGAAATTCAGCTAGCTCTG